GTTGTCTCCCCAAACTTCGGTCTTCCTTGGTCGATTGCATCTTGAACCGTGTTCCTGAAATGTATACAATTGTTAGTCCGAGTGTCCATAAATATTATGAAATTTACAATATTTTCGACCACCCCTTTGTTACGCGAAGGCGGTTTGTGATCTTCGCTTAACTTAATCTGTTTATCTTTTAGTAGAATGTCGAAGATCTTATACTGCTTTTGTTACATCGAAAGTATAGGTTCGATTTGCCATTTTATCTTTCACTTCATTCTTTTGCAACAATTTACAAGTATATGGAGCTCCTACTTTGAGCTCTGCTATATTCACTTTCTCATCAACATTTTCCTCGATATCATTTTACGTTGAGGGATCTACTTCATACACATCATTTATATAGGCTATTCTTTCTTTTTTCACAGGTTTCTCAAATTTCTTGTGCCTTTGTTTCTCATACTCGATTTGTTCCACTCTCCTCACTTTATCGACTAAGCTGAGCCATGTCATTTAATGGAAAATTTACCAACTTTTTCCTAATCGAGAATTCTAAACTGCGAAGTCATCCGACTAATTCGTATTCGGGAATTTGAGTAAAACATCTTGATTTCATTTGTCTAAATCGATTCGAGATAATCATCTATGTTTTCATGATTATATCGTTTTATGTTCATCAAATCAATGAGACTTACTTGAGTTTCTCCTCTAAAGAATTGTTCATGGAAATTTCTTTCTAACTGCAACCAATTATATATCGAATTGGGTGGCAATGAAGTAAACCAAGTGAAAGCATTCTTAGTCAAGGAACTAGGGAAATACTTCATTTTTAACTCTTCACTCATTGCTAAGTCCCCGCACTCTATCGATATCGAGCTACATGCTCGATAGTTGATTCACCAACTTCTCCGGCAAATTTAGTGAATTTGGGTACTTTGTATCCTCGAGGCAATTACTGTCTCGAGAATCGCATTTGGAAAAGGAGACACAAAATATGTCGATTGGGTGGTCTTAAATCAGTCCCTTGGAAATTCATCCTTTGTCCTAACATGTGATTATATTGCGTATTATTCGATTATGAATATTTTGAAATCCCTCATTCAGATTTACGTAAATATCATTCCTCACATGTTGATATTCGTTCCCCATTTGCTGATATTGATCATTGTTCCGATTCCTTCTTAATAAATAAGGGGGATTAATATTCTGATTGGCATGATTCTCCATCCTCGTTTGTCGAGGTACAACCAATGCGTCTCCAATTCGAGACATTTGATCCGCTAATATCTCGAAACTAGCAGTAGTATTTTGAACTAATGGGTTTAAGACCGTAGTCAACTGCTGTGATAACATATTCACCATTTCAAAATTACTCTCATCCATTTGTTGTCTAAGTATTCCTAGGGAGTTACTGGAAATCCCAGTATTAGTATTTTCGATATTCTCGAAATTAGATCGATGATAGTCCCTATCAAATGCATATCTCCCATGATCGAGATTTCCCCTAGGATCTAGATTTGGAGGTGTCTGTTGTATCCCTAAGTTTGGTTCATTCCCTGAATTTTGTGATATCACTGAATTTTGAGATGCCCCTAAATGTGTAGATATTCCAAAGTTTTGTGGCATGCCTAGGGTTTGAAATGTGCCTACATTTGGAGGCATTCCTAAGCTGTATCGTGAATTTCTATGTATCGATGAAGTGCCAGCTCCATTCATGTTATTGGGTAAAAAACCAGGTGGTCTTACACTAGTATATGGCCCTGCATATGTGGTTATGGGGTTTCCCATAGTTTGCATATTATTTGATATTGCTATACTAGACCCTACATGGGTGTTTGTCGATGTACCTGGATTTTGTTCATGACTTGCTTGGTATCGACGTGCTCACAGTTGTCGACACTACGGGCATACTCCCATTATGCCCTTGTCCCCCGAGTATTTGGTGGGAGCACACCACTTAGACCCTCATTGTTATTCGACTACTTGATGAATTCTGACTCATTCTTATAACTCTCCCACTTCTTAATCTCATACACTCTCGAACTAACCTCTTTTGTGTTTTTTCAACACAAGTCCCCTACCTGGCGCGCCAATTTGTTTTTGGTGGAATTTTGATCGATTTCGATCCTAAGGGTATTTTGGTCCTAATCAAAATTCTACCATGTAAGTTCTTTTTTACTTAGGCTAGCAATTTGATTTTCAATCGAAAATGTGTATGAGAGTCGAAAACTATAAGTATCGAGAAATACTATTTTTGGTATTTTATGTCTAAAATGCTCGAATCAAACAAAGCGATAAAGTATCGAATCGAGAAAGAGTATTAAATTGCAAGAAAATGCGAAAACCCCAAATTTGCAAGAAATTAAGTTTGCAAGAGAAATAAAGGACGGAAATCGAAATGTGCGGGAAATGTAAATTGCTAAAACCCATTAAGATTGCATAAAAAGTAAATAACGGAAATCGAAATGACATTGAATGTAGTATACAAGAATATGAAATTGCTTGAATTGAAATGGCTCGAAAGTAAATTACCAAGGAAAATAAAGAAAGCGATAAATGTACTCCGTGAGCGAGGAAATCCAGTTGCCGGAAACTTCATGGTGTTCGTCGTTCCTCCGTGAGACGTTTTCACTGCTCGATTCTGCGCTCTGCCAATTTTGCTCCCCCTTGTTCCTTCCTTCTTTGCTCTATTTATAGGGCATCCTTCAAGCCTTCTAAGAGCGGTTAATACGACTGCTACCACGTTCTACGTGCGTATGACAGTTTATCTTCTAGTTTCCCACGATCTCACGATCTCCAACTTTTACCCATGATTTCAAAACTGCTCTCTATACGTGCATTCGACTTACTTCCCTTCACGATTTGGCCAAAATCTCGATGTCCCCATTGGCTTTCTTTATTCTCGATTCTATATCTTTCGAGAACTTCGAATTGCTCACGATTCCTTTTTAATCCTGATCTTATATGACTTAGTTTTTATTTGACAACAGTCATTTGATTACAATTCATTCGATTCTCGATTGTGTTTCTCGATGCTATATGCTACGTATTTCTAATTAGACATCGAATGAACTTTTGTTTATCTTATCGAGTCATATTTCTTCCCTTCGATTTCGATCGCTTTTCTCGATTTGCTATTAACAGGTACAAAACAAAAACTAACCTTTTAATCCAAGCGCCATATCTACTCTCACTTATACAACAACACATGAGGGTACGGGAAGAGGCCATAAAATCATTTAATTCTTTCACCAAACTAGAATCTCCAAAAGAATTGAGTTGGTTGGGACTCTGTCACCAGGTCTAACTAATTTCAACATGTCTATCATTAAAAACTTTTAAAATAAAAAGGTAGATCAGCTAAAAAATATCAATTTTTCATTTTTAAATCATACCTGTTGCTCAATGATATTGTACGTATGAATTCATAATTTTAATATTTAATTAAATTTTAATTGAATTTAATCAAATAATGTTTTTATAATAAATTTATGAATAATAATATTTAAAATAAATAATAATAATAATTATTATTATTATTTTAAAAATTATAATTAAAATATATTAAAAATATAAAATAAAGAATTATTAAATAATAAAATAATTATGATTTAAAATTAATATAATTAATATAAAATACAAAAATTAAAATATATTATATTAAAATTGACATAATTAATATAAAATAAAAAAATTATACATAATTAAAATATATTAAAAAATATTTTTAATTTTTTATCAAAATCTATTTGATAAAAAACTCATTCAATTTTATATCGATTTCATATAAATTTAATTATTTAAAAATCATAAATTATTTTTTAAATCAATTCTCAATTAAACTCGGTCAAATTTTTACAAGATTGGAAAATATCATCACTTCAAATTTAAATCAACCCGTTACACTTATATTGGCCAGCTTACAAAATATACTGGCGGATTCATAAAATAATATAATATTTTAAATAAAAATAAAATAAATTATACTTTAATAATATATATATATATATATATTAAATTAATTTTAAAAAGACAAATTTATTTTAAAAATAAATATAAAATAAAGTTTTTTATTATTTATATAAAAACAAATTAATTATTGTTTATTTTTGTGATCTAATTATTAAAAAAATGTATTATTTTAAAAATAAAAATTTAATTAGTATTTTTTTAATATAGATGGATCACTCATCTTAAATTTATATATTATATTACTATATTTAAAATAAAAAATAATTTTATTAACCTATAAATTTTAAAAATATATTTTTATTTAATATTTTTTAAATTAATTAGTTATATATATATTTTTTTTTAAATTTTAATCAAATTATAATTAATATTCATTGATCAAATATAAAATCAGTTAAAAAAAATTACAATTCATTTTATTTTATTTTTTGTTTTTCTTAACTTGTGGGAAGGAGACCCAACCCAATACCATAAGGAAGTTGAAGTGCCGAGAATTTGAAGTCAAAAGCTAACTTTATGACTAACATCAACCTATAGTACAAGGAAGGAACGAGTATTATACTCGGAATATGTGTGTGCTTAGTGCTTAGATTGGATGATATTAACCAAAGAGTGATGATATTTTGAAAACGAGAAACTATTTAACCCTTCAACCAACTCATTTTTATTAATATAATAATTTATAAAATAATTGAATAAAAATAAAAATAAAGAAAAATTATTATTATAATATTTAATATAATAATTTATAAAATGATTAAATAAAAATAAAAATAAAGAAAAACTATTATTATAATATTAAAAGAGAATTATTTAAAAGAGTGATATGAATTTGAGTTTTCAAACTATCATTTTCCTTTATCAAAACAAATTGCACTGGATATCAATGCGAGGAGTGGACTTAGGAGTTATATCTAAAAAAAGTATCAGTCTGAAACCAAGAATAAAAAGATTGATCAAACAGGGCACTAGGTGCCTCTCTATTCTATATATATATATATCAACCTTTTTTTTTTTTCAAGCTGCAAGCCAATCCCACATTCATCATGAACCCTTTAGATCCAAGAGAATTTAGGAGGCAAGGGCACATGATCATTGACTTCCTTGCTGATTATTACCAGAATATTGCCGACTATCCAGTGTTAAGTCAAGTAGAACCAGGTTATCTTAGAAACCTTGTGCCAGATTTTCCCCCTCTCAATCCTGAACCTATTGAAACCATTCTTCAAGATTTGCAGCAACACATAGTTCCTGGCATAACGCACTGGCAAAGTCCTAATTACTTTGCCTACTTTCCCTCCAGTGGTAGCACAGCAGGGTTTATTGGTGAGATGCTGAGCACAGGATTCAACTTGGTAGGGTTCAATTGGGTGTCATCACCAGCTGCAACAGAGCTAGAAAGTGTTGTAATGGATTGGCTAGGCCAGGCGCTGAAGCTCCCCAAGGCTTTTCTCTTTTCAGGTAGTGGTGGAGGTGTGTTGTTAGGGACAACATGTGAGGCCCTTTTGGTCACACTAGTTGCTGCTAGAGATAAAATGCTTAGCAAAATTGGTAGAGAAAATATTTCTAGGCTAGTTGTTTATGTGTCTGATCAAACACATTGTGCTGTTCAGAAAGCAGCTCATATAATAGGAATTCACCCCAAAAATTTTAGGGTAATTAAGACTATGAAGTCAACTTCTTTCGCTTTGTTGCCAGAATCACTGTTATCTGCCATTCAAACAGATGTGCAAAACGGGTTGGTTCCTTGCTATCTTTGTGCCACTGTGGGCACAACTTCAACCACTGCCATTGATCCATTAGGACCACTGTGCAAAGTGGCAAAAAAGTATGGCATGTGGGTCCACGTTGATGCTGCTTATGCTGGTAGCGTTTGCATTTGTCCTGAGTTCAGACAGTTGATTGATGGAGTTGAGGATGCAAACTCGTTTAGTCTCAACGCTCACAAATGGTTTCTCACTAACTTAGATTGTTGCTGTCTTTGGGTGAAGGATCCAGCTTCTTTGATAAAGTCCCTATCAACGCATTCAGTGTACTTGGAAAACAGTGCTTCTGATTCAAAGCAAGTGGTGGACTACAAGGATTGGCAGATAACCTTGAGCAGAAGATTCCGTGCACTCAAAGTTTGGCTTGTTCTAAGAAGCTATGGTGTTGCTAATCTCAGAAACTTCCTCAGAAGCCACGTTGAGATGGCCAAGGCTTTTGAAGAGATGGTAAGAAAGGATCAAAGGTTTGAGATTTTTGTGCCCAGAAATTTTGCTGTGGTTTGCTTTAGACTTCTACCTTCAGCAGTTGCAAAGGTTGGCAATGGCAAGGTTCAAAATGGAGGTCTCAAAACTGAGGATCTTGCAAATGAAATGAACCGCAGATTGCTAGATTCGATCAACGGTTCAGGCTCTGTGTACATGACTCATGCAATTGTTGGAGGAGTTTTCGTGATTAGGTGTGCCATAGGAGCAACCCTGACTGATACGCCACATGTTGTCAAGGCCTGGAAGGTGGTGCAGGATCATGCAGATGCCATTCAAAACCACTAAGTTAAATCTAAATTTATCAGAAAGAAAAAAAAAAAAAAACTCGCATTGGCTACAGTGGTAGCAAAATAAAATTTGTTTCATTGTGTTTTCCTGGTCGCTTGACCAAAGTATTCTTGCCTTTGTTTTTATCAAATCAATTACCCATTTATTGTCGTGGCTATCTTTCCATCACGCTTCAAATCAAACGTCAAATGGTATGTTTTCATATTTATTGCAAAGTGCATGATATATTTATATCCTAACCGACATATTGTTCAAGTCTCACATCTTCACTCGCATTCTATTTCTTACTCTGTATTCAGATTATTACAGTAAATTCTACCATTTAACATCTATTAATTATTTATTTATTTTCTCATCTGATCACGTTATATTTTTTCTCTTTCTTACTCACAAATAATACCGTGTGCGGTGTCCCTTCAAAAATTTCCTACTCCAAATATAAATGGTCATAGACAGAGAAGAAAATCGAAAATAGATTTTCTCGTGAGTAATGAATCTAAAAGTTAAGAACGGGACATTACCATTCGTTACTATCGACAAAAACAAAAATTGCATGACTGGTAAGGTTGTAGTATTTTTTTCATAACCCGTGAAGAGTGTTATAGTGTCATGCCTTGTTCTTAGATAGAGTTTGACATTGCTGAGAAAACACATTGAAATGGTTTATTTATTAAATTTCATATTTAAATTCAATTTTAGTAAGTTATTCTTATTTCCAAATGTTGCCTGTAAGATTTTTTTTAATAGTGTTTAATCACCAAAAATGCCTTATTAGATGCTTCTAATCGCATCAAAGTTTTAGAGTTTTATATTAACATCATGACGGTGAATACTTTCTACGTGTCATTTTCCAATTTAAATTGGCATTAAATTGTAGCTACCTTCAACAAAAGAAAGAAAAAAAAAAAACTATCCTACATTTAATGAGTGGGACTATTATGTTCACAGTGACTTACTTACTTGCACATTAGGTAGACAAGTATACAAGTTTGTATTATTTTTTTTAGTTTTTTTTTTAATTTATATATAATAATATAATTACTGTGATGATTTAGATTATTAAAAGATTACAAATATGGCATTATAATTTATTATAATAGATTAGTCTATTTACTTGATTTTAATTGTGTTTATTTGACCTAACAAATATAAAAAATGCAACATTCATATTTTTGTTTCTTTTAATATTTATTCACTTATTCGTCATTGTTAAAATTGTATAAAAACATTAATCTGTTATCAGATTATTGAATTTTAATCATGAACATCTTCTGTACAAAAATATATTTTCTTACATTACGAAAACTACAAATAAATTAAATATTTCCATGAAAATAAGATATAATAATATAAGTTTTTATTACCATCAAATCACGTTATAATTCAATTTTCTAAATTTGATTTCTTAAACCATTTTTTTTCTCTAACCAACCAACCGAAGAATTTTTCAAAACAAAACAAACACATTTATTTTTTAAGAGAATAACATCCAACTAAACCTTCTAAAATCATTTATAAATAATAGAAAATTCTTATTGTCATTACATGTATTTATTTATGTTTGTTGAACATATACATCAGTGTATATAATTTGTTTACTTTTAAAAAGCTTTCCATCTTGTATTTTAATTTTCAAATTGACAACATCATTTTGGTAAATTTTGAACTCTCATTAGCAATCTTCAACATGGTTATGATCTGTGCTGTTTCTGTTTATGTGGCCAACCTGGTACCACTTGTACATGCATTACCCATATGAATGAATTAGTGTGATTAATAATATTTGTTTGGCTTCTCAGGAAAAAAACTAGCAATTTCTTTCCATTTTATTGAACAATTTATATCTTGTATTTCTATGGAATTGGCTCCCCTTATGAGATGCTTTAAATAAATAAATAAAAAACATCAATTATACACATAAGCTAAATTTATATAAGAGTTGACATTTCTTCCTATTCGAAATCAAATTCTTCGGACTCCAAATCTTTAGATATTGATAAAGTCATATTTTCTTATTTGTTAGTTCAACTTATTCAACATAGAACTTATTAATATAAGTGAATCTCATGCTCAAAATTTAATATACGATTTTAATAATTTGACCCGCAACATTTTTTATTTTTTATCTCGAACACATATAAAACATCTAAAATATTTGTTATAAAATAATTAGTAATGTTTTTTTAACAAAAAAAATATTAAAATGATTTAAGACTTCAATTTCTTGGTCTAGAAAAAAACAAAATGTTTATTGAACCTCCAATATTATTTATTATTATATATTTAATTATTAATCAAATATCCAGAACTGTTAGTAAGAAGAAAAAAACTTATTACTTAAAAACAAAATTTTAATTAAAAATATGAATCACAAAATATAAAAAAAATATTAAATTTATAAAGTACTTATTGATAAATAAATGTAATAAAGTAGTATTATTGTATTACTATAAATTCATATCTTCTATAATAAGTAAAATAGCATTAAAATATACTTCTATATATTAGAAACTAATCATTAGGGAAAAAATTATAATGTCCAAAGGTTGTTTATACAGTTGAATAGTGTATGCAGTAAGTAAAGAGTTTTTACGTGAAAATGTTATAATAAGAAAGTTAAAATTGATGAATTTAATTAGAAGATGGTAAGATGCCTAAAAAATGAACCATCTTTCTCTCTTGTTCCATTGGTGTGTGTCCAGTTTCAACGTCCATGAGGAGCGGCAAGCAAGGAAAATGTTGTGGACGTGTCAAAAAATGGATCCTTGTAAGAAGGAGAAATTCTAAGAAAAAAGGATGTGTTGTAGGGCAACCCTGAAGGAGAGGAAGGAGAGGAAGAAGAGATGGAATATAAAAGGGATGAGATTTCGTCACCCCAATCCAACACAGACTAACCAACGCACATATCTATCTCCATTTGTCTCTGTTCTTCAAAAACACCTTCTCCAGAAAAGAGACAATGGATTACCAATTCACTCCCAAAACTTCTCTCACTCTTTTCGTAACCCTCTCCTTCTTCATTATACTCACAAACGCCGTTCCATCCAACCACGACATCCACTACGTCAGCCGCGACATCCTCGCAGACATCTCCACTCTCTGCGCCAAAACCACAGACCCCCCCCTCTGCGTGCAGACCATCAAGCCCCACTTCAGCGATAGCTCCCTCGAGCCCTTGAAGGCGCTCGACGTCGAAGTGGACGCCACGCTCGACGGCGCCAAAAAAACCCTGCAGAAAATTCATACACTGGAATCCAAAAAGGGCAACAACAAGTCCACCAAAGATTCGCTCAACACGTGCGAGGACCAGTACAGCAGCATGCTCGACGCCATTGCCGAAACTAAAGCTGCCATCAAGAAAAACGACGTCATCACCGCCAAGTTCAAGTTCAGCGCCGTCCTCTCTTACCAGGCCGCTTGCCAGGACTCCTTCAACGGCAAAGACCCCTTCAGGGAGGACTCCCAGGTCGTTTTCAACCTCGGAGGGATCGCCTTGGACATCATTGCCGCCATTGAAAAGGCCATGGGTCCTCCCCGCACGACACCGGTGCAACAAGGCCCTTCCTCCTTCAGCAGCGTCATCGGAACCGTCTCATAAATTAATCACCTTCGTCTTTGCTTTGGAGTTTCTTTTTCACTCTCGTTTGATCCCACGCCAAACCAAACCATGCTCTTCAACAAATTCACGACGGTGAACATAGTTTCTTCTGTTGTGAAACCTACCGTGAATTATGGTGGATCCTTTAAGTTCTCTACTTTTTTTTATATATGTTTTCTCCGCTTTTCTATTTTAGGAAAATTTCCTTCCACAACCGAAATATTAATATAATGATAATAATATTTATTATTACATTTATAAATTCAGATGTTGATTGAATATTTGGGATGTCAAAATATTATCCCTCTTCTATTTTTATAAATTTTAATAAAACATATCTCTTTTTCATACATTGTCTCATTTTTATTTTATTGCTTCGGTGTTGTTCAATTTGTTTATATATTGTTAATAATTGCGGGAGATTCGAGTGTAAAGAAATCTGTTAAATCGTTTTCTTTATGCTGTCTACCATGGTACATTAACATTTTCCTAGTGTTCTTAATTTCTTAGTTTCTAACTAACCAATATCTTTTGTTGAGTGTTGTAGTATTTGTTTGTATTCAAGGAAAATATCATTGACAACCCCAGCTTTAATAAAAAATCATTTTATAACTTAATTTTATTAATATAGTAAACAATAAGAATAATAATAAAAGTAATTATAAATTTAAGTTGTAGAATAATATATCATGTTGGTGTTTAAAAACTGTAATTAGTCACGGATTTTCTTGAGAGCTGAGGCAGTGACCTCCAAAGTTTTGTAACTTTCATCTAATTTATGATTTTGGTCGTATATTTACAATTTTATCCTCTCAGATCCTCCTCAATTTTATAACTCTCATATAATTTATGATTTTGTCCCCTCAAACTTAATGATCATTTAATATATATTTATAATTTTATTTTTTCACTTTCTCATTTTCTTACCTCATTTTATATTTATTTATTATTTATTAATAATATATTAGGTAAAAATCCATCACTGATAGTCATATTATAAGAGATAACGAGTTTTTATTTTTATTTTTAATTTTTATCCTTAAATGCATAGCCGTGGAGAAAACTCTCAGCTAGAATATGTATTCAATATTTAATTTTATGTCTCATTTTACTTTTATTATAAACCAAAGTTAATGATCACTGTAAATTTCTCATCTCACCTCGTTTCCCTTCTGCATGTGTGGCTTTGTTATTAACATGCAATCAAATTAAATGTTAAAATACAACATGTCTAGAAAATATATCTTCTTCAGATCAAATAATTGATGGGCTAAAACTTACAAATTCATATTGATAAAAAAAGAGAGGAGAAATTAAGACAGTAAAATAGTATATATAAATAATATTGTTTAATATAGGTGATGTAATGCAAAGAGAAGGTCTATAGAACACATTCACACCCTCCACCAATAATTGATTAAGATTTAATTATGATTAGGTCATCATATATATCTCCAAATTCTACAGGCTCAAACGATATTTAAGGGAGAAACCTCAAAAGAGTTTGTAGAAGAATAAAAAAAATTTAAAAGATATAGATAAATAATATACAAAAAATTTCTAAATCTTTTTTCTCTCTATATATTATAAATATGATTATTCATTATTAAATAGGAACTTTTTCATGATATAATAAAATAGGAATATTTTCAGGAGTAATTTTTTAATAAAAATATTTTATCTTAAATATATTTTTACTCTCTTAATTTGAGACTATTATTTATTCAGTTTTTTTTTAATCTGCAAAAATAGTCCTCCATAATATATAATTATTTTTGAGTCCCTATAAAAATATAAACAAAAATTAGCCTTCCAAATATTTGTGTCCTCATTCATCAAATCAACCTAACTCTCTTAAGAATCTGTCTTTAGCGAATACAACTTTTTACATTGAGTAGTTTGTTTTTAAGAGAGATTTTGTAATAATTAAAAAAAATTGAAATATTCAATTATATATATATATATATATATATATATACAAAGAATTTATTAAAAAAATTAGTTTTATTATATTAAAGTATATTGTTTAGCTGATTTTATAATTTAAATAGGATAATTGATTTTATTTTCTAAGTTATGTGATTAAGACACAACTCATAATAAAAATAAAATCACAAAATAAAAAATATATAAAATCTCTTCATTTCCTTTTTTTTTCATTAGTATTATTCATATTCCCCACCAATGTAAAAAGCATCAGACATTTGCAACCCACGCGAGAATAAGAAAAAAATAATCATGCAGAGAATAATAATTTCTTAAAACATGACGGGCCTGAGATGATTGATATTGGACCTAACTGCAAGGCCCAATCACATTCTGACATGGGCTAGGAGCTGATGGTGGGGTAACAACGATTGGGGTTGGGACTGGGCTTGCTCCTGGGCGAAGACGACTCTCTCTATCCTCAATGGCTTTCATGATGTCCAAGCAATTGCCGCCGAGATCGAACAAGTCCTGCCCCTCCTTCTCAATCGGCGAATTCGGAAATTCATCGGTGCAAGCGGCGAGGTACGACAGCACCGCGCTGAACTTGAAGCGCATCTCGATGACGTTGCGCTGTGCCACTAGGTTCAAGCTCTCCTTGATGGAGTCTTTAATGTTATCGTACTGCTCGAAGCACGTTTGCAGTGAGTCTTTGAGGTCCTTGGAATTGCCTGGGTTCGCCAGGAGCACGGAGATGAGATTCGTAGTGTTCATCACCAGGTCGCGTGTCGCAAGAATCTCTACTTCTAGGGCTTGGTAGTAGTTGAATTTCTTGACACCAATGGCATAGGGAATAATGGTCTTGTAGCATACGACGGGGTTGGTGGTGTACTTGCAGAGGGACCAGACGCGGGCCTGCGGAGAGCGGGCGGTGTGGGCGTGGGCGTGGAGTATGAGGCCTGAGAAGGAGACGAAGAGGAATAGGGTTTTGATGAATATGAAAGCCATGATTCCTTCTCCTATGCGAAAGAGAGAATGGATTTGGAGAAGGAGATAGAGAGAGTGGTTTGTTTGAAGAGAGCGTTTGAGGTATTTTAAGTGTTGATCTTTGGCCTTGGAAATCGGGTCTCGTCATCACGATGCGCTCATAATAGAAGCTTTTATAACGGTTTTTTCGTTTGACTGTGACACCATTGCATTTCAATTCAACATTTTCCCTCGCCCCCTTGAATATCGCCTATTTATCATTGTGTGGTGAGAAGTGATTGATTACAGTTGTAAGTTTGTTATCAATAACTACTACTTTTTAATAAATAAAATTTCAATAATTTATACTTATTTTTTAATATATAATGATTTATACTAATTTCATATGCAAAATCTAGGCGTGATTTTATATATTTTTTGTTGGGTTTTTTACTTTCATAAGACACTTTCATTTTCTTTAAACAAATATTTTTATAACTATAATCAAACAGAGACTTGGTTATGTTTCCCTCTTTCTTCATCCTTCTAATCAGTCATGAGTTTTGTAGGTTAGAGATTGTAGCATTAGTTTGACATACATGGGATGTCTTCTATAAATTCAAATGGACAGAGCTTCAAACAAGCTCAGGGAAAACCAAATTTCAAAAACAAACTTCAGATTCAAAAAAAAAAAAAAAGAAGCCCAATGTCTTAATAATTTGGAAGGTATGTGGGAACTGGCCACACTTAATATGATGGGCTTGTGACTCAAACAAGTCTACAAATAAAGGGCCCATGCGAGAATCACAGTACATATACCCAACTCGATTCTGTGTAGTGGAGAAATATATATACAGTTGGTATCCATGTCAAAATCCAATCCTTAATAATATTATTTTTTAAGAGATAAATTATATATGAACCTACCCGAAATAATAGTCAGGTCAAACTAATAATTAGACCGAAATATAACACATCATCCTCATATGTAAGGGAGCACTATGATTCAACAGGAATTATCACCTCTTCCATTAAACAAATAATTAAGAGTATTTTGATTTTATGTATATTAGGGTAATATAGTTATAGATGATTTTATTTTAAAAAAATATCTTAATAAATTAAGAATATATATATATATATATATATATATATATATATATATATATATATATATATATATATATATATATATGTCTAACAATGTCTCAAGATTTATTACAATAACATGTTAATTTTTATTAATGAGTTATTGTATATTCTGAAATTCTCGTTCTTTATTTTTAAAAGGTAATTTTAGGTTTATTATGATAATATGTCAATTTTTATGTTTGAGGTGTTATTTATTTTTGAACCCTCATTCTTTATTTTTAAAAGACGCTTTAATGAGTTAAGAAAAAAGGTTATAAATTTTCGAAATATCTTCTTTCTCTTTTCTACTAATGCATTACATAATTTTTAATTCTTTTATTTTTAAAAGAAAATATTATTATTGTTTTCTCCTTAAATTTTTAGAAAGTATTGTAATTTCTTTCGGTAATAAAATTCTATTATTCCTTATTGTTGATTTTATTTCTTTTTTCTCATATTTTATTTTAGTTGTGAGTTCTTGTACAATTACATTGATTCTTAACATACTCAACTTTTGACCTCATGATAGATATCAATGTTACGTCTCGTAAGCTCGATGGCGGATCTTCTTGGGAGTCGAGGGGTTGTGACCCCACCCAAAAATTTTGTAACTCCATTGTAATTTATGATTTTGGTCCCCTAAAACTTAATAACCATTTAATATATTTACTTATATATTTACAATTTTATCCTCCCAGCTCCACCTCAGTTTTGTATCTCTCATATAATTTATGATTTTGTCCCTCTTAAACTTAATGATCATTTAATATATTTAAGTATATATTTATAATTTTATCCTTTCATTTTTTTACTTCATTTTATATTTATTTATTATTTATTAATAATATATTATTTAGCCTCTTCAAAATCAATTATGATTAGAATGACTTCAAGAATCAATTTGGAAATAATGTATTCTTTTATATTGATAAAATCTAAGATTAAGAAATTCTTTTTTTTATTATATTCTATTCATGGGATAAATCCAATTTTTTGTTCTTTGATGAGTGATTATGCAACTAATATATATTGATGTATTTTTATTCTAATCCCATTTAATTTATATAATTTCATTTATATAATAGATATAAATTTATATAATAAATATACATAGTAACAAATAGATATGTACTATGACTAGTTCCTTATGTTGGTCAAAGAAAGTAGGTAACTTTCTCACTTGCACAGAAAGAATGGAAGAAAAGGGTGGGTGCAAATTTTTTTTATTCAAGCATGAGGTGCCCACGAGGCATTTTTTTATTGTAATGCACAGTACCAATTTTTGCTATAAATTGGTCTTCTTCCTTCAAGCAAAATCATCCCATCCCACACAAAATACTACTTCTCTTAGAGAAGAAAGAGTGGCACCAGTGAGAGGCAGAAAAACTAGAGAGTTTTAGTTTAGCTTCTGGGTGTAATTGGGTTGTGAGTTGTGAGTGTTTTGGGAGTGTTTTGTAAACACTTGTGTATTTTTCTTTTCTCCTAGTAAGAGATCTGTAGTAGTCCGGAGACGTAGGCATTATTGGTCGAACTCAGTTATCAACTTGTGTGTGCAATTATTCAGCTTTTATTTCACTTTCACGGATCGACCATATGGGAAGATTCAGCATATTTTTCCCAACAAGCTGGTATCGAAGCTTGGTTGTTAGTTACGTAATTTTGTGGTATTACTATTCATATGAATAGTAAATTACTATTCAGTGAATAGTAAATTACTATTCGTGAATAGTAAAACGTGAATAGTGCAAATTTTGTCGGCGTTACAAATTTGCCCGTGATCGTGTTACGAAACACGGTAGCTCACGAAATTGTCGAAACGATCCAGCGAGATAAGTCGGATCGAGTTGGAGTGATGGCTGCAGACGAAGGAAAAATGAAAATTGAAAGGTTCGACGGTACGAGACTTTGGCTTCGGAAGATGCGAGATAGAGGATTATCCGTATCGAGAAGAAGATGCATCAACCACTCACGGGGAGAAGCCGGAAACCATGAAAGAGGAAGAATGGAGACTCCTTGATAGACGAGGCTCTTGGAGTTATTCGTCTAACATTATCCCGTAATGTTGCTTTCAACATTGTGAAAGAAAAGACGACCTCGAGATCTCATGAAGGCTCTTTCCAACATGTACGAGAAACCATCGGCCTCAAACAAAGTTCACTTGATGAGGCGATTGTTCAACCTGCGGATGTCCGAAGGTGCTTCGGTGGCAAATCATCTCAATGAACTCGACAACTGTAACAACCCGGTTGAGTTCTATTGACATCAAATTCGATGATGAAGTACGAGGCTTTAATACTTTTGTCTTCCCTACCGGAGAGTTGGAATGCTACGGTCACGGTTGTGAGTAGCTCATCGGGAAACAATAAGTTAAGATTTAATGATGTTCAAAATTTGGTTCTCGGCGAAGAGATCCGGCGGAGAGAGTCGGGTGAAGCATCAACCTCTTCAGTATTGCATACGAGTCAAGAGGAAGAAGTTCAACCAAAGAAATTGGACATGGAAAATCAAAGGACGAGGCGGTCCAAGTCCAGAAATCATCGTAGTTCCCACAACTCAAAAACGATCGAGTGTTGGAATTGTGGGAAGGCCGGACACTTCAGAAACCGGTGCAAGAGTGCACGGAAGAATCAAGGAGCAAAGGACGAAGCAAACGTTGCCTCCACCTCGGGAAAAGATGAGGCGTTGATATGCTCTCTTGAAGGCGGGGAGGAGTCTTGGGTGTTAGACTCAGGAGCATCTTTTCATGCTACCTCACGAAGGAAGCTGTTGGAGAATTATGTTCCGGAAACCTTGGTAAGGTTTACCTTGGTAATGAACAGTCATGTGAGATTGTAGGCAAAGGTGCGGTAAGGATTAAGTTGAATGGGTCTCGTATGGGAATTGAAAAATGTCGGACATATTCCCGACTGACAAAGAGCTTAATCTCGGTAGGTCGATTAGCTAGTGAAGGCTATACGACAATCTTCCATGGTGATGAATGGAAGATCTCAAAAGGTGCGATGACGATTGCTCGAGGCAAAAAGAGTGGAACTCTCTACAAGGCTCGAGGAGCATGTCATTTGATTGCGGTTGCGGCAAATGAAAATTCCAACATATGGCACCAAAGACTTGGACATATGAGTGAGAAAGGAATGAAGGTCATGCACTCGAGAGGAAAATTACCAGGTCTTCGATCGGTAGATATTGACATGTGTGAAGACTGCATACTTGGAAGCGAGAAGAGAGTCGGCTTTCGGACAAGTAAAAGAACCCCAAAGAAAGAGAAGCTTGAGCTCATCCACTCGATGTTTGGGGTCCAACGACTGTCCCATCCGTTGGTGGGAAGCATTACTTCGTGACTTTCATTGATGATCACTCCGAGAAAGGTATGGGTTTACTTTCGAAATATAAGTCGAAGTATTTGAAGCTTTCAAGATTTGGAAAGCTATGGTGGAAAATGAGACGAGGATTGAAGATTAAGAAGCTCGAGATCCGACAATGGTGGTGAATATGTAGACACCAAATTCAAGAAGTTTTGCTATGAGCACGGAATCAGAATGGAGAGAACCGGTGCGGGTACGCCTCAACACAATGGTGTAGCTGAGCGTATGAATCGAACGTTGATCTGAAAGGGCCGAAGCATGCGTGTGCGATCGAGGCTTACCAAAGCGGTTTTGGGCGAAGCGGTCAACACAGCGGCTTACTTGATCAACCGAAGTCCATCGGTACCATTGGAGCACAAGATACCGAGAAGAGGTATGGAGCGGAAAAGAGGTAAAACTCTCACATCTTAGAGTTTTTGGCTGTGTAGCATATGCGCATATCGGTGATCAAGGCGAAACAAACTTGATCCAAAATCAAAGAAATGTACTTTCCTTGGTTATGGTGAAGATGAGTTTGGCTACCGCATATGGGACGATGAAAACAAAAAG